AGATGGCTCTGAGGAGAAATCCACAGGGCTCTAGCTAGACAGACAGGGTCTATGCTAGCTAGCTAGCTAGCTAGCTAGCTAGCTAGCTAGCTAGCTAGCTATATACCTAGCTAGCTAGATAGCTATATTCCTAGCTAGCTAGCTAGCTATATTCCTAGCTAGCTAGCTAGCTAGATACCTAGCTACTTAGCTAGCTAGCTAGCTCGACAGACAAACAGGCAGAGAGCTAGACAGCCTGACAGAGAGACAGACAGACAAGCAGCTAGCTAGTTAGCTAGCTATAGTACACAGGCGGCAACATCCGGGTGTACAGGCAGCAACATTCAGGTGTACAAGCAGCAACATTCAGGTGTACAGGCAGCAGCATTGGGGTGTACATGCAGTAGCATTGGGGTGTACAGGCAGCAGCATTCAGGTGTACAGGCAGCAGCACTGGGGTGTACAGGCAGCTGATCGCTGGATTCTATCGAGTCACCGCTCAGGGGTCAATTGAGCTGCATGTACACCCGAAATTAAAAAAACATTTGTTCCGTTTTATCCCCCAAAATATATAAATTTATTTTATTAAAAGAGTTTAAAAATAAGTGCAGGATGTGTGTACGCATATTTCAGGTGTATCCTCAGCTCCGCTCCGGTGGCTGTGTTCAGAAGGCGACCAGCAACGGCTGCTAGGCAGCATGGGTTTCTATTTTTTTTTTAATTTATTTTTATCTTTTTAAAATATAAATCATCTATCTTTTTCTTTTTTCTCTTTTTCTTCTTTTTCTATACTCTCCTGTTTCTCTTATCTCCTGCTAATGCCAGCTGAGGCCCCCAACCCGTCGGCACGGCTACTGGAGCCCCCGTAGGATATATGAATTTGTTTTTTTTTTATTCTTTAATTTCAAAACAAATATATTATTATAATAAAAAATAAATTTATTTAATTTATTTCAACTTAAAAATTAGTGTTTACTGTATTTCACCCGAGCTTTCCCCCCCCACATGATGATAGCATCGAGCTGGGGTTCCTTCTGGTGTATATAATACAAATTTGTGTTTCTCTCGATAATAATTAATTATTTTTATTTTATTTTATTTTATTCTTTTTAATTTTATTTTTCTCATTCTAAAGATGGGCTGAAGAGCATGCGTTTCTCTTCTTTTTGTTTTTTTATTTCAGTTTCTGTTTTTTTCTGTTTTCTCGATTCTATCGATGGGTTGAAATGCATATTATAAAAGATTCCTTTGACTTGAAATTTTTTATTTTTTCTTTTTTTTTTGTATTTTTTTGATTCTAAAGAAACTTCAAATATTATTTTTCTTTTTTTTTGTTTTTTATTTTATTTTATTCTTTCTCTTTGTATTTTTCTCATTCTAACGATAGGCTAAACGGTATTTGTTGCTGTTTTCTTT